CTTGATACCTGATCCCTTCTGTAGCTCGTGATAGCCAGGCACCATCAGCTTTCTTCACCACCTTTGCTTATGCGCACCTTTGTCTTCAGTGATCGTATCAAGAAGGTGGGCACACACTGATCTGATTTTTAGTTCTTTGATGTCTGATAACTGGTCCTTTCTGCGCCTCGTGATCATACAGGCTGGTGTGCTTCTTCCATGTGGACTTTGATGCTTCTCAGCTGGATGGCCGCTTATTTATCTTCAAGCCTTTAAGACCCCGGGCGCTATATCTTTTGATAGCCGGGCACCATTAGGTCTTATTCCCCGATTTTTAAGCTAACCTTCAAATAAACGTCATTCACTCTTATCAGTTTATTCTCTTCAACTATAATCTAAAGTACTGAGTGTGTAGGAATATTACATGCTTTTAAGCCTTTATTAATATTTTCACTACCGAGGTCAGAACAGTATCACTCAGATAGTAAGTACTTACTGATGCTTGGCTTTACAAAGTAGTACAACTTATTTCCTGTTACATTGTGTTATATGAGGGGGTACCCCCCAAAAAACCCCAGGATTTTTCAAAACTACTAGTATGTATTTAATTTTTTTTTATTTTTATAAAACCTTTTTAATGCCTTCAAAGTACTCAATCTGCCATTCCACTCTTGGAAACATTTTCCAAACTCATTTGTTATGAGGGGGTACCCCCCAAAAAACCCCAGGATTTTTCAAAACTACTAGTATGTATTTAATTTTTTTTTATTTTTATCAAACCTTTTTAATGCCTTCAAAGTACTCAATCTGCCATTCCACTCTTGGAAACATTTTCCAAACTCATTTGTTAGGATGGCTGACAGCACCTCCCTCATTTTTTTCCTTCACCTCTTCTGTGTTGTCAAATCACTGTCCTTTCATGTCCCTTTTCATTCCCAGAAACAAAAGGTCACATGGAACAAGGTCAGGTGAGTAAGGTGTGTGGGCCAAGAGAAGTATGCTGTTTTTTGCCAAGAACTGGCACAGCAGGTGCATTGTTGTAGTGGTAAAACCAGTCCCCCATCTGCCACAAATCTTTTTTATCATACACTGTTGTGCAGTCTTTTCAAAACCTCTAAGTAGACAACTTGATTGACAGTCTGACCTGGGGGAATGAACTCCAAATGTACCAGGAGTCGACATTTCCTCCGTTAGGGAAGTTGATGGACATCCAGAACAAGGTTTGTCATCAGTCGATATTTCACCTTTTTGAAAGGAGAAAACCACTCCACACACTTGTGTTTTCCCCATAGCACGTCCTTGTAAGCTGTGTTCAATATTACAACAGTTGCTGCAGCATTTTTCCTGAGCAGGAAGCAAAATTTCACAGCCGCAAGCTGTTAACTCAGCCATCACAAAAAATGAGGTTCGATCTTTCATGAAAAAATTCACTGTGACCAGAGAGAACCTTCACTGGGTCCACTAACTCTGAGCAAGTTGCTGTATGCTCACCCAGCAGGAAGAATGCACACTACGAAATCTCTGCCCAGCAGAGCGCTTTTCTATTTTTTCTTTCTTTTTTGGGGGTACCCCCTATATGTACATAAAATAAGTATAAGTCATACATTTATTCTTTCTTAATACTAACCACTTTCAGTATGGGCCAAAGTTCTTAACCCAGAAGTAGGGTACTGCCTAAACTCTGATGAAATCATAGCAGAAACAGTGCATTCTATATATGCATTCTCACCCAGGAGGATGTATACTCTTCAGAAAGATACGTAAAATCTGATTTCTTACATTGTTATAGTGAGCTGTAATATAGACCAGAAGATGAAAACTTACAGAAAGAATAAGTTCCACTGTTTATTTAAAATATATGTAATG